TTTTTCCAGGATTCCACCAAAATAAGTCCCATCGTACTAGGAACAAGAGCTCAGAAGGTCGAGGAAGGATGTAGCTTGGGTACATAGTTGTCAAGCAGCTGATTTACCAGTCATTTCTACTATCATAATTTAGTGGAAACAGTGGAACCTTGCTGAAGAAGGGAATAATGAGTCAGGACGGAAGAGATCAAAGTTGGAATTCCTTCAAATGTCACGTCTCCAGAAATGGGAAAAATGTGTTATTTGTGAACCGAATTACGTAGTTTATTATGTGTATCCAAAATATGATCTCCTTCTCTTGCTATTGAAAATTGTTTTTCATATCATCACATGATATTGCATCAAAACCAAGTTTCCTCTGTATTTAGCAAAATTGACGTCAAATTTATGTACTAAATTTTGAGAGTACTATTATCTTCTACCGTACAAGTGAAATGGCTTGAATTCGGGATTTATCATTTACACTCCTTTATTCAAACTACTGGATAGTGGTTGATTGCAATTTCCAAATATTCAGTTAGTTCCTTCTCTTCTGGAACCTGATTTATGCTTAAGTGTTTCTACGTTATGCTTTCAATGATTGAGAAACAATTGGAAAATCTCTGCAAGAGAAAACAGACAACTGAGTCATTCTATAGTTATTAATAAATTCTAAGTTGACAACATTTATTTGTTGCATGATGATTTAATCTTAACCAATAGTCAGATGCTGTTTACACAGGATCTTGTCTACTTTTTGGTTCAATCTTGCTCTTGGGCCTCTAACATGTTATTTCAAAATGCAAATCAAAATAAGCCTAAAAGTAATAAGAAGGTTAGAGAACAGTGCTGAAATCTAAAAACCAGCACTGGTTTGAAGACAACGCCTACATGCATCATGATTTTTACGTCGGAGCCCTATTTCCAGATGTTGTCCAAAACTGTAATAATAGATCAAGTCCAAAACATTGTTGAATTGAAACTTCTTATAGGAGAAAAGTTGCAATGCTTCTTTGGAAATATGGATGAGTTTAGTGTTCCATTAATTCTTTTGATAAGTGGGAATCGCCAAAACCAACGCATTATTGAGCACACAAGCAGTAAAGTCTTGATTAACCATAGTAAGGAGCCTAAATCATCTATGTATGTCCCTGATAAAATTGTTTGATGTAGTTGATAAATCTCGCATCGGTGTCAGGCCAACTATTTGAAATATGCAAAAGTCAACAAATTTAATTTAAAAAAAAAAAGAACTAGCATGAATAGTGAGCTAAACACAAGATTTAACGTGTTCGATTTAATAACCAAACCTACATTCACAAAAAGAAAACTCAATCTTTATTATGTGAGAAAACATTATAAGAATATAACTTGAATTCCAAATCCAACCATTGTATAGTCTCACCCTCCCCTCCCCCAAAGAACTCTCTCAACCCTTTTGTTTTATATCAAGAATGTCAATCTACCTATTTACAAAAAATATTATTTTGGCTAAAAACCAAATAACAATATGAAATAGCTGTTAATTCCTAAACTCATACAGGATAAGAAATAATTTCTAATTGTTAAACTTAAACAAACTAAGAAACTTGTCTGAAAAAAACTAAACCAATTTCCTAACAGATCAATCATTCACGATAAGGACGTAATCATAATTTTCAAATTCTAACTTTTAATGTAGTGTGTTTAGCCAAGTTGGTAATCAAAATAGCTTTCACCACTATCATAATGTATTATTGATATGCTCTCAGCATTTCTGGAGAAAAAACTTTAAAATATTGCGAGTTTTACGAGTCAAGTGTAGTAACTTGATCCAAAGCTATAATTAACTATGACATAAAGGATGAAGGGATTAAGTAGCTAAAGCAAGTAACAGAGAGTTGTACTCCAGTCCAATTGGTGTCGGGCAATTAAATCATTTTCCTTACGGAAAAAAGAATGCATATATCGAGTACAAGTACTAAACTGAGTTACTTTTTCAATACAGATAGTTTGAGATTCGAATAGCACTGGATAAAGTCAGATTTATAGATTTATTCTTAAGAATATAGTAATTACAAATTGATGTTGAAGAAAATTCGTGGCCAAAAGAAAATTCAAGATAAAATTCATCGAAAATGAATCGTGAGATATTATTGATTCCATTGCCAATATCTGATGATCAATATAAGTGCTGAAGTCAATTGGATTATCATTATTCCAAAGCATAAGAAAAAGAAAATCTAGAATAATAACAGAAGAAAAGTAAACAAAAAATGTGCCATCTAATTTATACAAGTGACCTCTCTCCCTGGTTTATTTCTTCTCTGGTACGGCCTTGATTAAATGCACGACACCCCCCTGAAATGTACATCGAGTTGTAGTTTACCCCTTACAACCTCTTTTATAGACACTGTGCTTGCCCTGATAATATACTTGGACAAAACTAACCTTGCTATATTAATTTTTTTTTGTTTTGCTAATCTTTTCCATTTTTTTTCTCCCTTTTCTTTTTCCTTTTATTTTCTTCTTTTTTTGCCTGCCTATTGTGTCAATAGGCAATTCTTTCCTTCCATTAGTAAACTACTTAAATTTAGACCCTGTTTGATAACTCAATTTAGCACTTAAATTTAATGAATTTACATCTTAACATATTCAAACGTATTTGAAAACAAAAAATAGAACATCTAAATTAATTAAGTGGCACTGAATTTTTTAGACAAAACTTGTTCAAAAAAATAAGTAATAAGCTATTCACTTATTAGTTAATGTAATATATATTCAAATATATTACATTTAGTACTTAACAATTTATTAATTTGAAAGATTTAGACACCAAATTTCAAATTTTAGTTTTCATATTTCAATTTTATCAAAAGCACACTTAATCTTTTAATTTTCTTTAACCCCTTTTTGTAATTTATTTATTTTCTAAGTTCACTCTTCATAATATGTCATAAACCTATACTACTAGAAACAATATATACCTTACATTGTAAAGATTTTTTTAATATATAAATTCAATGAAAACTAATTAAGCTTCAAATTACTCAATTGTTTACATAAACGGTATCACATTCACATTGAATAATTCTTTATTTAATCTTTCTATTTTATTCATATATATCTAAATAATTCAACTTTTTAGATGGAATAGACTTCATAATGTAGAAAACATACATCTTGTTATGATAGGAAGTTTCTTGTGAATTATAGACTTTGAAAACTAACCAAAAGCAAAGTACCATCAATCCTTTTTTTTTTTTTTTTTAAATAGGAGGTTTTGAATTTAGGATCTCTTATTTATAATTCCTCCCGCTGTACCACTCATCCCAACCTTCCACCGGTACCATCAATCTACTATGCCGAGTTAAACAAAATTAAAAATATTATTCCACACATATAAATAATCATAGCATGGGAGATAAAGAAAGAAAAAAGAAAAGAAAAATAAGTAACTAAAAAAATTGATAAGCAAAAAAGAAAAATAAAAATAATTAAGATGGAAGGGGTAGTTTCATCCAAGGATATCATGCATGAAGCAGGGCAAAGTGGCTACAAAGAAGTTGGGGGGAGGTGGGGGGTGTTGTAAACTGCAACTTAACCTTAAAGAAAAAATGAATTGAGGTCCGGTAAATAAGATAATTAGAGATTCACTAGCATATTCAATTAATCAGTGTACAAAGAAGGGTTGTTGTGTATCTTTCTTTGTCAATGTTTTTTATTTAAAGGAAAAGCACCAAAGCCACAAACGAGAAAGAAATGGTGGAAATCATAATTGAAAAGTCAAAATTTTTTATTAATGCCAATTTAATTTTAATTGTTAACTATTATGATTATTCATTGATTATATTAAATTTGCCTAAACTGAGAAACTTTTGGGACTCTATTCGTTTTGATCAAAATATTATGAACCAGCTTGGCTTATAGGCCAAATATCAAGTACCAATATCACATTTCTCCAAATAAGTAAACTTTTTTTTTTTTGGCAGTTGGAGGTCTTTAACCCAAGATCTCGTATTTACAATCCCTTCCACCTTATCATCCAACCCAACCTTCCCCCTAAATAAGTAAACTTGAATCTTATTACAGTTGCACTTTCTATATTCTAACTTTTACTTTCTATCCTAAATGATAAAAATATTGTCTATCAAATTAGAATTTTTCTAATTGATTCCCAATAAACATTCGTTGGTACACTTAAATTATATCTAAGTTATCATAGGAATGTGTACATCACAAATACTGCACCCTTTTATTAGACATTTCCAAAATTAACTTTCACTTTTGCCAAATATATATATATATATATATATATTTATGACCACATTAAAAAGTGTCTACGAGGCACTTGCTGGTCAAATCCTTGAATTAAATACAAGGATTCGTCTATGTGATGTTTTAAGGACTCACAATGAGAAGTGAACCTAATGCTATTCTTTTGATGAAAGGATAAATTTCTTCTGAAAGTTTTGCAATTTAGGGCACCAAGTAAAAGAACGTATCAACATTTTTTTTTAAGTATAAGTAAGAAATCTCGAACAAAACCCTTCATTTACACTCCCTTCTCCCGTATCACTCAATCCATTCCTTTTCTCAAAACACCTATCAACATAATCATCTTTAGTGCAACATAATACTTTGTTTTTTTTGGTACTACTTACCGTAGTACAGTTCTACAGAGTTCTTATTTTTTTTCTTTTTACAAAAAATAGAAGTTTTCATTAACCTTCAAAGATACTGCTAATGGCTTCACAGGGTGTGGTGGAGAACGAACATTGCTACAAATAGATTTGTACGTTTGGTTCCCCATAGAATTGGAGTGTAGAATTGGAATTGGAGCTCCAATTTTAATTCTTGTGTTTGGGTACTATCTTTTCTGTAGAATTAGAATCGAATTGCAATTCCAAATCGATCGAATTCCATGGTTCCAATTCTTTGGCTGGACCAAAGAATTCCAATTCCAATTCCACAGCTGGACTCCTAAATCGGGTCAACACGCGGGTCTTATACGGGTAAAATCTCAAAAATGGGTCAACTCTAAAATTGATGAAAAAAACTCAAACCTCTCTCTTCTCTTTCCATTATCAATCGCCATATCTGATGCTCTGTTGGAGCATTCCTGCCGCTGCCTCCTCCACTTGTGCTGCCTTCACCCATCACTTTTGCTGCCACCTCCACCCCTCCATGCTCCACTCGCTGGCCATTGCATAACTCAGGTTGAAATTATGGGGTTTTAATTAGTTTCTGTCAGTCTCCTCCTTCCCTTCCAGTGAATGAATTGAGAATTGATTCGATGAGGGAAAAATGAAATTTCATTACCAATTTGGCAAAATTCATTGATCAATTCCATCTAAGGGTCCAGGAACAAACAAAAGTGCCCAACTTCTTCGTTATTTCCTTGAAGCCGATACTTGTTCAGGAGAGAACGAGGAATAGTCTCTATTATTAGCAGTTGAATTGGTAAAAAGGGGCAATTTCCTCGTACAAAAATTGAAGCTACATTAGAAGAAGTCGTCTTCGGCCCCTCCAAACTTCATTCGCTTGCTTTGTAGTTCCAGATCTTCATCAAGTCAAGAAATCCCAGTTGCAAACAATAAATACCACACTTGTACGGTTTACTCCAGGATTGACTGATACTATAACCAATATGATATGGCTTTGCAATTTACTCCCTACTATTCCAGATTTTTCAGGTAGAATTAGAGTTTATAAAGGTAACTTCATAATTTAATTTTTTTTCTATTAAACATTGTTTTTTTAAGGTTTTTTTTTTATAATTTGTGGTATTGATTGATTCTATGCGGTCATTATTATTATTTTAAGCTTATAATTTACGATGTTATGAGAACAAAAGTACAAGTTGGTCTTTGGTTTCCATTTTCTTGTTTGTTTGAGTTTTAGTTAATTAGTCAAAGTTTGGCTTGGAACCCATTCGGGATAATGCCTGAACGTGTAGGATTTGAGAGTACTTATTAGGAACTTGGACATTTTTTTATTGATCCTGAGGCTTTTGGAAAAATCAACTTTGATTAGAAGTAAACTAATAATACCACTGCTACCACCATTATATTCATCTCTTAATTTTCTATCTCTTGCTTTTAGCTTGATTCCCAATATTAACTAGTAGTACTTCTTAATTGCCTCTGTTGTTTATTTTGAAATGTCTCCTATCCTAGTAATTCCTCAGCATGTCCTGTCGTTTGGTTTGAGCTGACTTTATGTGCAGGCAGATAGAATTCTAGCTCCATTTACAATAGTCGTTTTATTGACTTCAAACTGGAGGCTCTGAGGGCAGGGGAGGGGGGTGGGAATACTTTTGGGGAGATATTGAATATAAAGTTGGGTCAGTGAAGCTGATGATGGTGGTTGTTTTTGTAGGTATCGAGTTGTTGAATTGAGTTGCATTGCGCCTAACACCTGTAGTCTTTATGTATGATTGTAATATTGACGTGATAGTCTTGTGATAAGACTCTACTAAATCTTTCCTTTTGATGAGACTCATAGAAGGCTTTAGAAGGATTCTGATGTTCCTCATAGACAATTAGTCTTGTTTCTAAAAAGAAAGCTTTGTAGGGACTTTTTTGTTTCCTTCTTTTGTTGCAGTTTGCTGGAAAATCCTTACCATACCTTAAAGGTCACTTCTGAATCAAACAGACCTTTGTTATTTTAAATGCAAAACCAGCAGAAGCTTTAAGTCACTAGAATAAATTTAGGACATCTCCAAACAATTTTGTGCACATAAGTGATGATCTCAGCAACATCTCCAAATTACATTTGCAAAAAGATTCCATCCAGATAAGTCAGCATAAGTTCTTCATTTAACATATGTATGGATTTTTCAGGTGCCTATTTGCCTTTCATTTTTCGTTCTATAATGCAGTGGCTGCTGAATCTATTCTTAAGAACATGACATTGTGATGTTTTTCTGGTGCATATTTGCCTCAGATATGGCATCTGAAGCAACATCTCAGTCAAAAGGGAAAGGCAAAGGGTATTTCACTTGGACTCCTGATATGGATCGTGTAATGGGCACCTGTTTTATTGACCAAATGAACCAAGGAAACAAATTGGATGGTAAATGTGCATGGAAGACAGCAGCCTACACCGCCGTAATGAATGCTTTATTCGATAAGCTATATATATGATAAGTATCTGGAGTGGTCACCTGAGAATTGATATGCGTAGAACAGCTATGCCGAATAGGAAAGATTTTTGGGTGAAACAGAGCGAGCAAGATCCATCTCTGAGCTTGCAATTCAGCAACCTGCATTAGACATTCCACAGTTACTATGGAAGGAATCCATCGACTTTGAGATACCGGTGAAGGACTTGTCCTTGAGCTGCATGAACCTATGTGGTGATCAATGTTGCTGTTTTTTTTTTGTTTTTTTCATGCTATCCAGATGCTTGTTGAGCACATTTCACATCATACTAGAGATTGGTTAAGAAGTGTTATTTGTCGAGTCTGATTGGACATGCAAGTCAGAAAATGATACTTGTGTTGGCATTTAAATTTTGCTTCCAAATTTTTTTGCTGGCCTTTGGCATTTTCATTCGGTTGTATTGTTAGGTCACTGGAGGAAGAGCATCTAGGAGTCTTGAGTTGCTGTAATTTCTATGTTTTTGCACTCGCTGAATGTGTATTTTAGGTATTTTTGCTGTTGAGGTTTTACACATAATTAAATCTTAAACACATTGGTGTTGGAGTAATCAGTAATTTCTGACTACTGTGACACATTGTAGAAAATTTGAAGTATGGGGAGTGAAATGGAGACTTGGAACTTGTAGTAGTTATGACTAACGAACTTGCAAGTTAATAAATTATAGATGAATGGGTTATGGTACATGGTTTCTGGTGTATCCCTCGACCGACATTGGATGTTGCACAAATTGGACAATTCCTGTGTACAATTGTCTTTGCCATCTGATGCATGTTGGCTCCATGCGCCACAGGGAAAGTTCTAACTCTCTAAATCTTTTTTGAATTTTGTGTAAGTATTAGAAGTAAGAAAGAAGTTTGCTTTATTATAATATGTCAAAACACAATTGAAATACCACGTTTGAGATGGGGATATATTTCTTCACAAAAAGGGATAATGGATCAAAACATGTTAAAGGAAATGTTCACCAAAGAAATTGATATGAGAGTGGGAAAAAATAAATTATTAAAGGCATATATTGGTTTTTTCTTTTAAATCTTTAGTAAAGATTAGCTAAATGTAAGAAAAAAAGAAATTATTATATAGAAAAAAGAAAAAAAAAGAAAAATTATATGTAAGCAAATGTTTCATGAAAACAATTCTAATTCCTAATGAATTCTTCTCTCATGCAAACAAAGAATTTGGAATTCCAAATAAATTCTGTATCAATTTTATGCATTTCCCAAACGAAAGAATTGGAATGACTTGGAATTCCAATTCATAGAATTCTAATTCTATAGAATTCCAATTCTAATTCAATTCTAATTATATAGGCTTAATCGCATGTGTTACCATATTATTGTTACGTCTCTTGACCCGTGCAATACTTGAGACTTCCAACCTAAAGTCTCGATGTCGTCAACAAAGACGACCTAAAGTGAACGACGTCCTCAAGCGAACTCTCCACTCCACGCGCGAGACGCTGTGAAAGAGCCCCTGTTATGTCTGCCCACCACTCCCGTCTCAAGATACCTGAATTCCTAAAGCACTACTCAGTCGTAAATTAAATTCCAGTCAATCAAAACTTGGAAGCTATCAAGTTGGGATTTCCTCTGTCAATTGCAACTTGTTTAGCTAATGTCATTCAATCAGTTGAAAATCCCGGTGGACATTATCAATTTCTCCAACATCTTTCTGGTACACTAGTCGGACACCCCATGCTTTGAATTCCATGAATCGTGGAGTATACGAGGATAGCTCAATGCAGGTCCAATCATTAGACCTCCAATTTTGCGGGATCTGGCTAAGCTTCCTACAAGGTAGGTATGCAAGACAAGTATGTTCTGAATCAACATTTGTTTCAATTGCAATAGCGCCTACAGAAATCACTGCCGGGGGGGACAACTTATCTCGGCCCTTGTACCTATATTGGACAGGAATGACTGCAGTATTCTCTCGGTTAACACTTCTAACTACCATAACGGGCGTTTTCAAGCCAAAAACAATACAAATTGCCATCCCCATGAACTCGTTGCAGTACCAATTTGGAGGAAGCTGAACTGAAATCGAATGCCCTGTATCCTGGTAGGTGAACCAGGCTGGAATATTTTGTCCAGGACTGCAGATACTGAACTCAGTATGTAGGACTGGTAATTCCTGTCACACAAAAGTTAGGCCTCTATGATCAGTAAGATTTCAAAAAGGTTTGGATTGTGCAAGCATGTATGAATCATACAAGTTAATAAGATACCTTTAGCATGTTCTTCCATGTTGCATATACCATTTTGGAAGTTTGAAGACCCTGAAGCATTTGAGAACAATTGGTGAATGAAACCGTGTTTAATTTTTGAGATTTTGTCAACAGATTAGTTTCACCCTGCAATATTGTACAATCATCTGCGTACACTTGCTCTATACTCCGTGGAAGCTCTGGAAGTATCTGAAGTCTCTTGCATCCAATCAATTCGAGGATTCTAAGGCGGCTGAGGTTTCTGATACTTGAAGCGGAGATACTGGAGAAGTTGTTTCTACCAAGATTTAACTCCTGTAGAGAGGATAAGCTCCCCAGATCACAAGGCAATCCTTCATCTAACATACTGCAGTCACTAAGATCTAGAATTGCTAATGAATTTAATCCTGACACAGATGGAAAAACAAAACCCCTTGAATCTTGACCTCTTGCATGTAGCACCAAAGAAGATAACCGTGCTCTCCATGAAAGAGCCATTGCTTGACATCCTCTGAAAGATAAAGTTCTGAGGTTCTTTAGCAATATGATAGAGGATGGTGGCTGTGAGATGGCAGTTTCATCACCATAAATTTCTTCCAAGCTCTCTATGTACCCCAGCTCTTCCGGTAATCTGCCAAGCTTTGAGCAGCCAGAAAGAACAAGTGCCTTAAGGCATTTTAGTTTAGAGATACTACTTGGCAAACATGCAAGACTTTTACAGTAGCTTAGATTCAATACAACAAGAGCTGTTAGGTTTTCAATTGAAGGTGGTAGTTCTTTTACTGCAGTAGCTTCCCAATATACAGCTCTTAAATGATTCATGGGACCCAAGATTTCTGGGAACTCATCAACTTTTGAACAGCCAGAAAGAATAATTACCTCCAGACTTTCCAAGAGAATTTGCTTAGGAAGCCTCCTTAGACTTGTGCAGTTCCGCAGATTGAGTAATTTAAGACTTTTGAGATATCCTGCTGAAGAGTGGATCTCAATTAGACTTGAACAATTTTCAAGAACCAATCTCTCAAGAGAGGGGATCCCTGCGAAATCTGGAGTCCTTATTAACTTCTGGGAATGGCTAAGGTTGATGAATTTCAGTTTGTTCAGAAACTGTCAAAAGTCAGAAGATTGCAAGACAAAAATAAGAAAGACAATATTGTATGATCAAACAAGCTTTATTAGGTAATAATATTAAAATGTGATTTAAGATGGCACCTTTATTCCCTTCCACAGCTCAATCATTCGGCTATTTTGTAACTTGATTCCTACAAGTTTTTCAGCTTGAAAACTATCTGGAAGGGATTTTGAAGGGTAACCATGCCAGTTTAGCCACCTTATCTCATTCGGCAAGTGATTAGGGCCTCGAGAAACATAAGCATTGTGGATTTTGAGTAACCTTAGTTTAATCATTTTTTCAAAGGCTTCATTTTTAATTGCTACATACTTCGGCGTAGACAAGTGCAACCACAAGCCTTCAACATTTTCTGTAACCTGCCATGAAATGAGGCAGATTAGAAAGAAGCCAGCCCAAAAAAAGAAATCATAAACTGGATAGGCCTTAGAATTTGTAGATCACTTACCCTGTCTCTAGCCAAAACGTCACAATTATCCTCATCAACCCATAGCCTGCTGTGTTTACCTGGCTCTTCTGGAGCCTTTTCACGAACAATTTGCCAACCCATTTCTTGTATTAAAGGATGCATCAGAATCCTTCCTTTGGAAACAGTTATCAGAGATTTCTCAATGAGAACCTTGATGCCTATATGAGGGTAGAAATTGAAACTATCCAGTACTCTTGCTATGTTTTCTTTCTTCTTCCCTTTAAAGAAACATGCAATGTCTAAGAAAATTTCTTTTTCAATTCTTTTAAGGCCATCGAAACTTACCGTGAGTTTTTTCATAATATCATCTTCTGGAATTTTTTTTAGTCTCTCCACTTCACTTCTCCATTCAGTCATGTCTCTGCCATACAGAAAGCTACCCAAAATCTTTAGAGCCAAGGGAAGGCCACCAGCATAATGCACTATTTGTAATGAAAGCTCCTCATAGTCTTTTGCTGGACAGTTCTTCTTAAAAGCATTCCAACTAAACAGCTGCACAGCTTCATACTTATCCAACACTTCCACCTTGTACATTCTGTCTATGTCATGTTTAACAAGCAAATGCTTATCTTTCGTTGTTATGATAATTCTGCTACCTTTACCGAACCAATCATGCTTTCCAGCTAAAGCTTCTAACTGATCGAGATGGTCAATATCATCAAGAACAATGAGGACTTTTTTGTAGCATAGTCTTTTCTTTATCATATTTGATCCTTCAAAAACATTGTTGATCCTCAATTCTTTTATGCGCAGAATTTCAGAAAGAATCTTCTCTTGCAAATTTTCCAGACCATATCTTTTAGAATGTTCTCTGACTTCATGAAGAAAGATAGCACCTTCAAAATGAGTGGAAATTCTGTCAAAAACAGCCCTTGCTAACGTCGTCTTACCTATTCCACTCATTCCCCAAATACCTACAGAGCGAACCTCATCAGCCACCAAATTTAGAAATGCATTTATTTTCTGCACTCGAGAATGAATACCAACGTGGTTTTCTTCATCATCTTCTACAAAATTTTTCAATTTACCCATGACATCTTCAACAATTTGCTGGATGCATTTAGACTCGTGCCTATAGAAGAAAGGAAAAACACAGAGCAAGAAACTAGGTAAGAAAAAATCATGCAGGAGTTGCAGTTGTCAACAATATTCTCAAGATAGACAGAGCTAATATACCTATGCTAAAGAACACTCTTAAGAAACCATGATTGAATTTAAAATGCTATGCGGAGAATGCTGTCTGTTCTCTATTAACTGTAGTTCTCATGAAAGTTTGATCATGAATTTCAAGTTGAAGCCCATTAACTACTGAATTTCCCATAAAATTGTTCTTTCTCTTACTGGGGATGAAGTTCCGTCGACCCACTAGGTTCATGATAGCTAAATGCTTGTAAATCTTTTTTCCTCATTTTTTTGAATTCGGGCCTAAATTCTCAATTTTTCCCATTAGTCTTCTTAAAAAAAGAATAGTTAGAAAAATAAACAAGTTAAAGACATCAGTTCCCATTCTGTTTCTTCGAAATTAAGGCTAGAATGATTACGTGGGCAGAACTATATATATTGTGAAATTGAAATTAGCAACTTAGATCTAGAACTACTGCAAATAACACGGCCTAATTTAGACCACCAACTGACAACGGTTATCATTCAAGGCCTGCCTGGCCCCAGATCTGGCACTTCAACATTAGGATGGAAATATGTGACATGTCTATCCATTCCTAAGATCAAATTTCTTGGTCAAAATCATAAAAGTTTTCTTTGCGAATCAGAAATTAGTACTTTTGGGAAAGGATGATAGGTCTTATTACAATTGAATATGCATACGTCAAGAAGATCAATATGACAGAAAGCAAAGTATATGCATGTTAAAAAGGAAAGGCAAGTTCAATTGTCGAAAGACCAAGGTAGCGAACCCATCAGCAGTGCTGGGAACATCCCAGCCAGAGATAGAAGCAGCTTCAGCAAGAGCTGCCCTCCACCTTCGAATCCTTTCCTTGTCCTCTATTTCATCTTCATGTTTGACAAAAGCTTGACCAAAGCTGCCTTTCTGTTTCCGGACCACAGATGGATCCACATAATAAAAAACCGGCAGAATAGTTTGTCCCAACGCTTGGTTGCCGTAAATGATCTCTGCAAGCTCATCCAAACACCATGAAGAAGCAGCATAGTTTTCTGAGAATATGATAACTGCAATTCTTGACTCTTTAATAGCTTGGAGTAATGCCGATGAAATGGATCTTCCTCTTTCGAGCTTTTCATCGTCTTTGAAGGTGTAAATTCCCTTTTGTTGCAGAGAACTATAGAGGAAGTCGACAAAGTTCTTCCGAACATCCTCACCCCTAAAGCTCAAGAAAACATCATAAGTCCATTTAGGAGTGGAAGAAGAAGAACAAGATAAAGAAGAAGAGGCAATGTTTCTCATTTCTTGCTCAAGAAAACTTCACAAGTCCATTTAGGAGTGGAAGTGAATGGTGGAGGAGAAGAAGAAGAAGCAGTACAAAATGGACTGTAGATGTGGGGTAGAGAGCTCAATGAAATGAACCAGAAGTCAGAAGTCAATTCTGCTTGCAATTCTACTTTTCTTTGTTATGAGCAGCCAAAAAGTAAGGTTTCGCCTGTGGTGGAAATCTGACTCATCTGTGCTTTTTTTTTTTTTTTCGCAACGATAGATATCCTATAACCTGATCTAGCCTAGTCTAAGGGGAAGGGGAGGGGGTTCGATATCTGATCTAGCCTAGTCTAAGGGGAAGGGGAGGGGGTTCGATGTGAGTACAGACTCCATCGATGAAAGTCAATTAAGACCGCCACAAATTGTGGCAAATTTGTGGGAGGCAGGGATTGAATCCCTGACCTCCAGCATCACCTTTTATGGTGATGACCACTGGACCAAATGGCCAGTGGCTGACTCATCTGTGCATGGTGGGAAGAACAAAGGAAATTTGGACAACACGTCATCATGGAGCCGAGCAAGATATAGCTATTAAATGAGCTACTTAAATAAATAGTACATGATAAATTAAATAAATAAGATACTTGATATAAATATAAAAGTGGCATTAAATTGTCATTGAAAAAATGGCACTGAGAATCCTGTGTGCTGCTGGAGTACTACATAGCAGTGTTTGCATTTGATAACGAGGGTCCCATTATATTTTCAGGAGAAATAAAATGCAAGCCTCTCAACAACTCATGGGGCACTTGTTTGCACCCAAAAATTGGCATCAATTGGGGAGTAACTCCCCAGGCCAAATTGGCGAATGACAAAATTTGAAGGGCAATTTTGGTAAGTTTAAAGCCCATAAATTGGCGAATAGAAAAAATTGGTCAGATGCAATGATCCATGGGGATATACAAAATGAAGCCATGTGTACTTCAATCTTAAGTTGTAAATGCTTTCGTGACAAAAGAGTTATGACGGTTTAAATTTAATTATTAGTTGATGCCCAGATCGAAGAGACGGCAGGCTATCTACCATATTCTGTCGAGCCTTATCTGCTGGCATCTTTGGAAGGCGAGGAATCGTGCAGTTTTTGAAGGTATTCAGCCGCAATCCAGTTCCATTTGTCAGGCTATCTTTCGGGAGACTAAGGTTTTGCTTGAAGGTCAGCTCAAGGAGCGGGTTGAGGCCCAGTCATTCTTGCAATTGTGTGAATAGGCATCTCAGTCACGTGGGAGTTTTGGTTTTAAATTGGTTTGTTGGAAACCAGCTATAGAGGGGGAGTTCACCCTGAACACGGATGGCTGCTTCAAGGGTAATCCTGGGCTAGACCGGGGGGTGGGGTTTTACGGGACATTGTGGGGCGACCATTGGTGGGGTTTTCAGCTTTCTTCGGGGCGACATCTAGTCTTCATGCCGAAACACTAGCTCTCTTGACGGGCCTTCGGATATGTGGTCAGAAGGGGGTTACAGATGTGAGCATCCAATTAGACTCTCTGGTCCTGGTTTGGCATTCTTCAACGTCGTTTGCAGTGTCCTTGGCATATTCGTGGGGAGGTCCGGCAGATTTGGAACCTGGTTAGGGACCCGTCTAGATTCTCTCATTGCTTCAGGGAGGCTAACAAGGTAGCAGATGCTTTGGCTAATGTAGGGGTAGCCCACCCTCATCAAGCTGTTCAGCTCTATGAGCACTGGAGCGACTGGCCGCGACTGGCCCGTGGAGGAGTTAGCCTCGATAGCATGGGGTTCCCTTCCCTTAGGACGGGGTTTGATAGATCACGGATTTGACTAGTAAAGTTATGTCAAAATTTGAGGCTTTTTAACTATTAGCATTATATAATGATAAGGATAACCAAATTATAGTGTATAAATCAAAATTTACTCTTAAAAGTAAGCACTAAATTTATAAAGATTTCGATGTGATACGGATATTGATATGGATTATCTAATAATTGTAAATCCATTAAAACGAGGAAGTAACAATATCTAGATAAATGAATTACAATCAAGTAACTAAATGGTTATCAACTTAAGTCCTAATTTTGCAACTAGTTGTATTCGACATGACAGACTATAGATCACAAATATGACTAGTAAAGTAGTATCAATGTGACGCTCGAAAGAAGAAGAGAAGGAAAAATTCTGGTGAACAATGATTTTTGGTGAATCCGGCCGCAAATCCGACCAGTTCTTGGCCGGATTGCTGGCCGGATTGTGTTGGCCGTTTGAAAAAAATTTGATCAGCTATTGCCTTGAATCTGACCAGAAATCCGGCCAGATCTTGGCCGAATTGTGACGTGGCACCTTCGGCAGCCAGGTTTGACCGACTGTTTTCCAACGTTCTTATCTTGTTTTGGCTGATATTTCCCTCATTTCTTTCCTTGGCTTGACCGAACCTTTTAAGAGGAAGAACAAGAGAGAACAACTCCATTTTGTTTCCTTTGATTTCCTTCACCAAAACTTGAGATTTCACAGTTAGTTTTGCAATCTCTTCCATGCAAGTGCTCACTAAGGAGGTTTAAAGCTATTGGTGGAATTGTTTTGGAGAAGGAAGCACTAAGCTACCCATTTTTTTGAGGTTTGAAGGTATCTTGCTAAGAACTTCCTTTTACCTCAATAAATTGTGTATTAGTGGATTGGAGAGGTTAAATTTGTTGTTTTATGGATAAGTTTATGGTTTGAGGTAGTATTATGGAATTTTTGATTTTATTGGGGATTTTTCTGCCTTCATGTGATAAGTAATGATTGGCCATGGTTTGATAGCTTTGGTATGAGATATATTGAAGTTTTATAGACTAGTTTAACTTGCCTAAGGAAATTTTAGCTTGTGTGTTCAAATTCCAGCTTAGGGTTAGTAATCTACCCTGTTTTTGCACTGAATGTTCGACCTTGAGAGAGACTGAATCAGCCCTTACTCAAAACATGAAAGTTGTAGATATATGAGTTAGCTATCTACCTACAAAATTTCAGATCGATTGGAATAGTGTAACATGTGAAATGACCGAAATACCCTTGACTGCCCATAAGCCCTGTTTCACGGACAGTTTGCCATTTTCTCTAAGATTTTGATTTTTGACCATGAATATGTATGATTTGGCTTTAGAGGTCTTCATAAGAAATGTTGGTATATGTCTTAGCTTTGTAATTCCATAAGATTCATTTCAATCCGATAAGTGTAGTTTCAGTTGTGATTAAAATGCCAAAAGGTGATAGGAACTTGATGATTTTAGAATTTCCTTGACTTGACATGATATTTGTGATCTAGGGCTTGGACTTGAGCAAGGCAATAATTTATGATGGATGAGGTTCATGAGTTATGGTTGGTGAGTGATCCCTCAACTATTTCCAAAGTTACTTTTGAACTAATTCTTGCATTGGTTATTCGATTGCATATCATTTGTGTTTGTGTATGTGCCATGACATGATTTGGCTCCAATGAGTTCTTGAGAAATCTTGTGCTTAGAACCAACGTCTCCACCACTGTATATTTGGAGCACGAATGGCTCCCTTGTACTATTTAACTGTTACTGGATCTGTTTGAGCGTTGGAGTTCTAAGTACGGTGATTTCACCGGCTCAAAAGAGCAATAAATGCACATTTGATCATTGATTCATGTTACCATCTACATGCATTATGGTGAAACTGGTTGATTACTGATTTTACTGGATACTCGCTAAGCTTCTAGCTCACCCAAAATAATTTTCTCCCCACAGGGCTCGAGGCAAAAGGAAGCACTTGTGTTAAGTTTTTCGTGTGATTGGATGGATTATCTTATGTACAGTTTGATTTTTAGATTCATCTTGTGTAATTTTGGGCTTGTATGGATGTTTGGAATTGAAACGGATGTTTGTGTACGTACCACGCTTGGAAATTAGTTTCCGCTTCGCTTATGATATATAATTCTTGAAGAATTGGATGTAATTTTGAGTTGTATCTTGTAATTTATTTTAGAACTGTAGTGAGTGAGTGAGTCCTGATAAGAACTGAGCAGGCGGTCCGCCGAACCATTTGGTTCGCCTTAGGGGGAGATGGAGCTGTCACAGTTGGTATCAGAGTTTAAACTTTCGATCTCTGTAGTGTATTCTAAGCTAAAATTTAGGGTGCCAGACTGTGGGACTGGTTTGAAAGTGGTAAGCGTAAGATATGACTTGGTTACTCTCAAGTGTACATCAACCGATTCTGGTACTAGCGTACGGCCTGAGTTGTACAGTTTCTTAGTTTGGATTCTTGTACTTGAGCACTCGATACTTTTCCTGAGAAATGCTTATGAATTTGGAAGGAACATGGTCTAGTGTATGATGATGTGAATAGAAATCATAAGTGAGTTTGAGATAAGTTGTAACGGCACAGGTTAGAGCACAGAGGATTTTGTATTGTACTCGAGACTTAACCGAATGAGGAGATTGAAATAATGACTTGAACTTGTCCAATAAGTGTTTAGCTAGGGTTTTGATAAATTATGGTGGTGGCCGGAATTGTTAAGAAACTTTTGGTATTGCATCTTTCTTCTAGCCCTCCTGTTTGATTAAGGTTTGCACCACTCGATTTGTAAGTGTTGGGATTTGAGATACTTGAACTGCCTGAGATTGACTAGGCTGAGCTCACTTGAGACTTGAACCTGTTTAGGTGAGTGTACTCTTACGTACACTTAATGGACCTGACTTGACTGAATATATGGTATCTCTTTTACGCATGAGCAAGTGGCTTGATTCGTACATGACTTGTATGTGGATTTGAATTCTGTGACTGCTTGAGAATGTGATTTACTGGGCATAGGCTAGGTGAGTGAGTTCTTATTTGTACCCGTACTCCATGAACCTGAAGTAATTGGCTTTGTTTTTGAACGTATATGTTTGAACCCTGCTTTGATCCTGCTTTTGAACTTATTCGTACTCGTGTGGTTGTAGACCGGCTACTACTCCTCTGTAGCGGTTGAACTGAACTTCTCTGGTGGGGCATTGCCTGTTGTGTTATCAAGCACCGCCATTCTTCTGGCGAGGCATACCTATTGTGTTGTCCAGCACCACCAGGGACATATTCTTGAACAGAGGCTCTCTGGTGAAGCATGGCTGTTGTGCTAGTTTGTTATGTTTTCAAGCACCACCAGGGACAAT